AATTGCAATTGTATTATGAAATCAGGATCATATTCCATAAAATAATGAAGATGAAGGAAAACCTTTATCAGAATATTTTCAGAATGAGCCTCAATATCTATTGAAGCAAAGTAAATATCAATCCTTAAAATTTAGACCCACTAACACATTACTTAGTAACTGTTTCTGGAGCATAGGCCACTTACAAATTACTTATTACATAGTACCTGAAAATCTTTAAAATAAACAATTGACCCAGTAAACAAATGGCCCTAACAGAGTCTACTAAATACTCTGTAAAATATACTTAAACAAAATACTCCGTAAATATTAATAACATAAAATCAAATTAATTCTCTCATCGTGACTCTGCATATTTGGTACTATGTCACACTTGTTTTCCTCAGCGTCTGTCTACCACTACAGCCACGTCGCTCGCAACACTTAAAACCATGCATCAGCCAGCATCTTGCTCGAAGATTCCTCCATAGGTCTACATGTCTACACTAATGCTAATCTTTTTGTACAAGGCTTATGTTTGAATTCTCTAATTCTGAATCCTCTATTTGTCTCTCTCTTCATGTCTACACTAGCACTGATCTTTCTTTACAAATCTTATGTTTGAATTCTCTCATGTGTGCATTTGAAAAACATGTAAGTAAAATGGAGGAAAATTCCTATGTAAGAAATAAGAGGAAACCAATATGAAAAGAAAAATATCCTTGGGGGAGACATGAATAAGTTGTTATTGAATATGCTTCCTTGACGTCTTATTTGGTCTTGCAATTTTTGTATATAGTCATCTGTACTACTCATGCAATTCTTTATATCAGTTTTTTCTCTCTGTGCACGCACTTATTATTTTCTCTTACCCTTTATTGAATATCACTGTTATTATTATTATTATAGAAACCTGGTGGAATTATTGCTCTGCTGGATGAGGCCTGGTAATATATGTTCAAATTATAGAATTCTCCTTCCATTTCTTATTCAGGTTGTCTACTAGTTTTGCTTGACGCTTACAAGCCTTGCTTACTCCTTGTAGCATGTTCCCAAGGTCGACACATGAGACCTTCGCTGAAAAGCTTTATCAGACCTTCCGAGACAACAAACGCTTCAACAAGCCAAAGCTA